TAAAAACTGCATGCGCATGCGTGATGGATGATCGCGTTGTGGTGACTCTCCCCTGACAGGTGTGGTTTGGACGCGGGTTTGGGAAGAATTCGCAGGATCGGATGAGTAAGTTGGGATATTATTTTCTCGAATTTTTCTATCTGCCTGACCTGACGTCGGCCATCTGTGTATCAGATGCGTTGACCTATAGCTAATCCCCCGTCGTCCACCGTGCATGGCTGACTTTTGCCGGCTTTTCGTAGTCTTGAATTTCTCCTCTTTGATGTTGGCAGGTTACTCTATTGGGCCCATGAATTGGCCCAGAACGTTCACGATATTCCACAGGGAATATACTTGCCACGTGTTAGTTGACCTCATAACGTGTAACGTTTCCTGGCAGATCGCTGATGACATTTTTGTCCATATTCGCAGTAAAGTTCTTGGCAACCTTGCATGATCTCAGCCTTGTGTGTCACTTGATTAGCTGTGGTTGATAACCGACCCAGATCTGGTGTGGTCATGGTTGACCATTTCAGGTGAACCATGTTATGACTGTAGAATAATTGATCCATAACATCCCTTTGGGGTTATCGCACAACATTCCCACTGAAGTAAAAAGGGATTGTGTCAGTACATAAGGGGAAATGTTACTAAAGATGGAACTAAACAATAGGGCACAGTGCGAGAATGCAATAAAGTTTCCATTTACTGCCTTACATACTGCCACGTTTCCTTTAATGTGTGTGGCTCTTCTCATTTGGCGACAAACAGTGACATTGCTCCTACAGTCTCACCATAGTAGCGTTACGTGAGTGTTGTGGGCATGCCCTCATGTGTCTCACTAAGTATGGCATCAGCTACTTGGGGAGGGATGACACAGGTATAGATGAGAATAATATTACTATGTACACTGGTCTCATCGCATCGGTTTTTTCATCTTTACTGCTCCTACATATGTACATATTATGAGAGACAGTTTATTTGGGTTTACTTTTGCTTGGTGCTAGACTCCTGCTTCATTCAACTTCACAACTTCCACAGGTAGTTACAGGAGTCGGAGTGAGCAACTTCTGGGTGAACTACTCTCTGGTGTAAATGAAGACTACCTAGGTATGTGTACAGCATGTTGGGCTGAATGTTTGTAGTGGTGTAGAGGGTGGGGTGGGAGCAGTTGAGTACAGATGTGGTATTCACATTCATATGGCGCGCCGTTTGTGTCACAACGAATGTTTCCAGTAAGCATCCGTAGCTGTCGAACACGAGCAACGAATCTTTTTTCAAGGCGACGAACCCTTTTTACGTGCCCGTGTCTTTGCCGGTTGCCACTAGCCCGTGGGCAAGTAATGTATCTGGTAGCTCCGGGGCAAGCTGCAGAGTCACGGCTGTCTCTTCATAAGAACTTGCCATGTTCGGCGCCTCCCCTGGTGGTGGGTCTCGTGACAGGCATGTCTTTGAGCGCGCGCGGGCCGGCAATGCCACCGGCGGCAGACGCCAGAACTGTGGCCCCGCGCGCAATCGATAGTGAGCGTCCAGCGCCCGCCCCCGGGACACCCGCAGCTGCTACCAAAATTCCCGACGAACACTAGATTCGTCGCCACGAAAAAAGAATCGTCGTCTCGAAAAAAGATTCGTTGCCTTGAAAAAAGAATCGTCTCCTCCAAAAAAGAATTGTCGCCTCGTGTTCGACGGCTACGGATGCTTACCGGAAAAATTCGTTTTGACACAAACGGCGTGCCATACATTCAGCCCTCTCTCCCCTTTAATGCCCACACATACCCTATTATTCTTTATCACATCTGTAATGTTTTGACTACAGGTGTTGATGCTCTGCCCTTCCTGTACCGAGTCCTCCACCAGCTAGCCTCTCGCTGGAACTCTCTCTCCCTACAACTGAGTGTCAGTGGCCAGGATGAGATCCAACGCAATGCCCGCAGTGCCGACATTTGTCTGGCAGTGAGTCTGGTGGAGTGGCTACAGAGTGGCCAGGCCACCTGGAAGGCTCTGGTGGAGGCTGTCTTCAGACCTGCTGGTGGGGGACACCAGGTCCTGGCCAGAGACATCGCCAGGAACTATAGGAGTGAGCATGCTGTTAAAAAACTTGAATAATCTCCAGACTGGGGAGTGATTTTGAGCCACCCCCTTTATTGCACTGATAATGAAAAGCACTAAAGTGCAACCCCCCGGCGCACTACGCATGCGCGGTATCGCTAATTGATTGGCTGGGGGCTAGGCTATGCAGTTACTCGTGGTCTCCCGCTAGTATATAGCTCGCGGAGAGTCTGACACGGGCTAGCTACGCTAGTAGATTGCATGTGGGAGTCGATACACGCCCTCTGCTGTAACTTCTTGTGCCTCCAAGGTACGCGGAGTAGGCCGATCAGTTCGAGGTAAGCCAGCGCGATTATGCATATTGGCTTTTTCGCTTGTTTTCACGGCATATCTCTCGAATGCAGTCGTTTCAGGAAAATCGCCCTTTTATTTTTCAGGTTCGCGTAGTTCTGAAGCTGTTGGTATCGCTCATTGGCCACCTCGTAGCCTGTAGTGCCAGAATAAGCGCCAACACACAGACACACAGACAGACAGAATGACTACTGTAACCCTCGCTGCGCATGCACCCGAGGGTTAATGAAGAGAGAAGTTCATGGTCCATAAGCTCCAAAGTTCATGTTTATGTCATAAGCTATTATGAAATACTTCACACATAGGATGGTTGGTTTCCATCCTGTGCATTAGTCTGAAACTTCCTCTCCTGTATGTGCTTCTTATTGTGATAGCAAACACTTCCCTAACATTCCTTACAAATTCTATTGCACAATGCAGGTCTGTGTGATTTTAGACCAAACAGCATTGCGGCTGCTGTGAAGCCTGTTGAGTTGGGTGAGTTTACTTTAGCCATTGCTTCGAAGTAATGAATTCCACACTTTACAGTGTCATCAGAGGAGTCGTTGAGACTGGTACAGAAGATGCTCAACAACTCTGTGGCTGCTCGCTGGTACCAGATGGGTGTGGTAATGGGGGTGCCCCCCTCTGATCTGGAGATAATCAGAGAGAGTCCCGAGTACCACGGGGCAGGGGAGAGAGAAGCTGGCATGTTGAAGGCCTGGCTGGAGAGAGGCTCTCTGCCCAGGACATGGCAGGTATGGTGTGTGTGAACATCCAGTAATGTGGTTTGTCTGTTAATAACCTTTGAGTCAGAATTGGGTCTCTACAATTAGCATTGCTGTTGTGTTGACAAACTTTACTACCAAAAGCAGTGATTCTCACATAATATGGTTGCCACATACTGTCAAAGGGGAAGTTCATGTGTGGGTGACTGAATATAGACACGCCTACACAACACACTCCCTGTGGTATTATAGGAGAGAAAGTGAAACTAGAAGACTTCCCATACCTTTCGCTTTCCTCCCCAAACAAAGGGAATGTTCATGTACCTATGTTTCATGCTTGCAGTTTCATCATTTTTTACATTTCAACATTATGTGTGTGTGTAGGTGTTGGTGGATGCAGTAGAGGACAGAGCTGGTGGGAATCATAAAGTCCTGGCAAAACAGATTGCCAGCTTTCCTCTGGGTATGTACAGATCCCATTTTATTAACCCTTGACGCGCATGCGCAGCGAGGGTTACGGTACTTGGTTCGTGAGTGTGTGTGTGTGTGTGTTTGTCCGTTCGTCTGTTACCACGTTTTCTGCAACTACGCGCAACGAGACAACGAAATAGCGACACCAACAGGTTCGTCGCTACACTGGCCTCATTTTTAAAAAGGCGTGATTTTGATATAACTTCTGCGTTCAAAAGTGATGGCGTGAAAGGCAAGTGAAAAAGCCAATATGCAAATTTGCCAGACTTACGTACCTCGACCTGAGCCACTTGCCCTGTGTACCTTGGAGGCACAAGAAGTCACAACGGAGGGCGTGTATCGACTCCGCATGCTATATACTACTGTAGCCAGACTCTACACGAGCTACCAGCGGGAAACCGCGAGTAAACGCATACTAATAGCCCAGCCCAACAATTAGCGGTATCGCACATGCGCAGCTCGCCGAGGGTTTTGCACTTTAGTGCTTTTCATTTTGTATTACGTGACTTTCCATCCAATAATTGTTCCATAGAACGCTATTAAAAATAGGACTACGCCTTTTCTTCTGATGTCTGTTTAACATTTGTCACAAACCAACAGCCTCGCAGTGCTCTGCAAAGCTAACTGCTGTTCGTCGTGTAGTTATGCAGTTTACTAACTGGGTAGGCCATCTGTGTATATATATATAGGCTAAATGGCACTGTTCTACTAAGACAGAAGTTTGTAGCTCATAACTATACTGTCACATTCACGTTGTTGCTCACATCTGCATGTTGCTTGTATGAACTTAACCTGCTGCACATTCAACACTATGCAGAGCCCTCCCAGGCTCCACCTATCTCAACTGCCACCAGCCCAATCGACACCAGTAAGTGCTTATGGTTAGGCCTCTGATGGTCCTTTGTAGAGTTCAATCTCTTTTTGTGTAGGTAGTGCAGTTGAAAAGAGAGGAACAACCCGATCGCTAGGTGTGTGTAAGACAAACTGTGTATAATTTGGAAAGTGGGTTTAAACGCCATGATACACGATGCAACTTTCTTGCAAACTTCAAATGTATGAATGCATGCAACTTCAAATGTATGGGTGACGCAACATGTTGATGAAATGAAAACAGGAAATGAGGGAGGGTACGGGAAGTCATCTATGCACCCACCCCCCTTCAAACCTACACCCCTTTCCCCTCCTTTATCATCACAATCCCACCACCATTTTTCTCACCCCCTCCTATCGAGCCCTATAACTTATTCACATCATTATTCATAACCCTATAGACTCCACCCCCAGTCCTGGAGAGACCTGCAGTGTCAAGACCAGATCAGGAGAGAAGATTGAGATCATTCAATCCCTTGGACCCAGAGTGGCGTCATTTGGTGTCCACCTCAAACTTTGAGGACATGGGGTCCAGCTGTCACTCGTGAGGCTCAGGACGGCCAGAGTAAACCACGAGCTGTGAGGACATGATGATCCATGGTGCTGGGGAATGGGGAGGGAACAAACACCTGGAGAAACGCTGCGGTCCCGCTGGAGGATGGCGCGAGGGCTACCTCGCTGACAGGATCAGGAGAGAACTAATAGCTTAGCATTAATATCACTCTCATACAATTTATTATGTGACAATTGGTTTCTAATGGGTGACGTGAATTAGCCTGTAGAGTATTAGCTTCAGAGAGACGAAAAACAGCAGATAAACTCAGTCGTACTAGTGATGATGCTGTTTTGGCCAGTGTTTGTGTATTATAATACCTTGTTGAGCCAGAAATGGATTTCGTATCTAGCAAACACACAAACTCAGTGGCATGGAGAGAAGAAAATGGAGCATGGGATGGGTAGATCAAAGATTGTCCTTCAGCTATAATATATTTTTTTGGGCCTCCCACTCTTCCACCTCGGCGCGCATGCGCAGCGAGACGGTACCGGTGCGTCCGTTGTCTGTTACCACGTTTTTCTGCCACCACGCGCAACGGGACAACAAAAGAGCGATACCAAAAGGTTCAGCGCTACACTGGCTCGATTTCAGTTTTGGGGAGTTCGTAAAAGTACTGCGTTCAGAGTATGGCGTGAAACCAAGTGAACAAGCCACCGGCTTATCTCGACTGTCAGGGGCGTCGGAAGGTTCAGGCAAGTGGTATGGCTCTCTGCTACCTAGTCTCTGCTGCTCCAAGTCTTGACTAGAAGATAATGATTGATTCCGTTTGTACAGCCGCGGCAGATCCGTCGTACGCTACGGCTACGTGTGCGCGCGCGTACAAAGGGGCGGGGTGAAAGCTGCGCGCCGTGCGCGCCGACTTTACGCGGCCCTAGCTAGCTAGCTCCGTAAAGACCTAGCTGGGTTCCTATACTAGGCCAAGAAGTAAGTTGGTGGCGACTCCAGGCAAAAGTGGTACGGCTGTGTCGCCGTACTGGCAGTAGCGGCTCCGACTGGGTCAGCTTGCTCTGTTTATCTTGAAGGAACAAGAGGTTGCAACGAAGGGCGTGTATCGACTCCCGCATGCTATCTACTGCTGTCGCTTGCCCGTTTCAGACTCTCCGCGAGCTAGCTATTAGTAGCTTGAGACCGCGCGCGTATATCGCGATATAGCCCAACCCACAATTAGCAGTGCCGCGCATGCGCAGTTCGCCGAGGGTTTTGCACTTCAGTGAGTTCGAGTTGAGACTGCATGCTACTGCACTGGTGAATGAAGGTATGCTACGGATGACTTGAAGTACTAAGGCAAATGCTCAAAAGGGGTTCGTCACTTGTTCCCAAATTTGCGCGAAGGAGGCAAGGCCGCACAGACCAGAGCGGGAGAGCGCCCAAAGGGAAGAGTGACCGGCGGCTGAAAGAGATAGTATGAGTGAGTATGAGTATCAGTGACAGTCGGAATGGTTTTTAACTATCACATCACAGTAAGATAATCTGTCGAAATCGGTCTGGTTGACGCGACATGGAAGTCCGGTGGCCGAGCAGTTAGCTACCACCTCTTTTCATCTTAGTCGCTACTCTGAGTAACTGATAAGGCTTTGTGTTAGTGCAAGATAGCTACTTAGCTAGCTACGCTCATACAAAAGACCAGGTTTATCTTCCCGGATGGATGTATCATCATACATAGTATTCTTGACATTGAAAAGCCTGGTGTTGGGAGCAACACTGCGACATGACACAAGAGTGGTTGTACTCAGATTGATGACAAGGACGAACAGCTGTCTTTTTAATAGTGCAGGTGTGCTGAACTTGAACAAATGCAACACATGGGTGAACAAACACAAGTTTGAAATATCAGCTGTATGCGTGTTAGGGCATAAAACATTTTTGCATCAGAAATTACTGGCGAGTGGGAAGGAGCTATATACCCTAATTGACCAAACCGGGCAATTTTTGTGTAAAAAAAAAGCTGCACGTGTTTTGATGAGTCATTGGTAGGGTAGTGTAAAGACAAAACATTTCAGTTTTAAACAGGCTGTCTCACTCGCCAGCATTCTTCACAATTCAGAACGACCAGGTAGGCTGCTTCGCTTGCCAAATACGTAATTTATAGATCACCCACAGTGTGTACGCATACAGCCATCATGAGACCTGTTTTCTACCGTGAGGCATAACATTTCTGTTAGCTGCCTGAGTACACATTTCGGGTGTATAATAATAATACTCTTGGCAATCCCTCACTTCACTGTATATAGGCATGTACAGGAGTAGGAACGACCAAGTTCTGGCTGAACTCTTGTCTTCAATTGATGATGAACATTCCTCGGAACAACTAGGTTAGTGCCTGCTACATGAAAGCACTGAAGTGTATAACAGTGTGTAATAGCACTAGAACCTGTTTGTTTCACCTAGCAATGACTGGTCCCTGTATAAGTATTGTAACAAGGGATGTAGCTTGGTTAGGTCCATCTGATGTAGTCTCAATTAATACTCTGGGTTTATCCCTTTTACATTCTTGTAGGTGTTGATGCTCTGCCCTTCCTGTACCGAGTCCTCCACCAGCTAGCCTCTCGCTGGAACTCTCTCTCCCTACAACTGAGTGTCAGTGGCCAGGATGAGATCCAACGCAATGCCCGCAGTGCCGACATTTGTCTGGCAGTGAGTCTGGTGGAGTGGCTACAGAGTGGCCAGGCCACCTGGAAGGCTCTGGTGGAGGCTGTCTTCAGACCTGCTGGTGGGGGACACCAAGTCCTGGCCAGAGACATCGCAAGGAACTATAGAAGTACGGAATTATGAATTATGTGTTGGAGTTGTGCCTAAAGCATTGCTTCTGAAGTTCAATTTGGTGCATTTGTCAAATGTAAACACACAAAACAGTTTGGGAAGAGAGTTTGTACTTAGTACTGCAAGCACAGATGGAGGTGGCACTGATATTCATATCTTCCAAAGTTTATTTGCTCCTACACCGTGGGTAGCAAGGATCCCCATATCAATGGGCTAAATTGTGTTGCCAACCATTCACTGCTCACATGTCACCAGACACTCTTTTTCTGGGTCATACCCTGAGACTGCATGCATCTTGGAGGCAGAGGATACAGATCATTGGGTGCAGCAAGTCAATACAGCTGAAAGATTTCCTGAAGCCAAATCCTCTATTCAACCTGAATCTGTTGCTAGAGATTTTCAATAGTGTCATGACCATGTTGTTGACACTCTTACCTTTGTTCAGGTCTCTGTAAGTTTAGACCCAACAGCTTTGCTTCCAACGTACAGCCAATTGAGATAGGTGAGTATTTCACATCTGATACAATGTGCATTAAATTTGAGACACTACATAATGGTGCTAAGCTTACTGACTGAGCACTCAGGTACCCATGTAGCCACTTATGTACTACTTATGCACACAATGCAGTGTCATCAGAAGAGTCGGTGAGACTGATGCAGAAGATGCTCAACAACTCTGTGGCTGCTCGCTGGTACCAGATGGGTGTGGTAATGGGGGTGCTCCCCTCTGATCTGGAGATAATCCGAGAGAGTCCCGAGTACCACGGGGCAGGGGAGAGAGAAGCTGGCATGTTGAAGGCCTGGCTGGAGAGAGGCTCTCTGCCTAGGACCTGGCAGGTTTGATAGAGTATCTTGTTGATGGTGTGTGTACATGTAACTCACCTAGCAACTCAATGTATCGTTTCGTGTATGGAGACATGTGTGGGCTATGTTCTGGTTATTGTGGTTTGTGGCACAAGGCGTGTCAATGGACTGTGGCCGCCTACTACTGTCACACCATCAAGATAGTGGATGTACTATCATGCACTTTGCAACACTCCACCATTGTTATTTTCAAACCTCCACTTCTCACATAAACCGCAGGTGGTTGTTGATGCAGTAGAGGACAGAGCTGGTGGCAATCATAAAGTCCTGGCAAAACAGATTGCCAGCTTTCCTCTGGGTAAGTCCCCACATGTCTTTCAGTATAAAAGCTTCTTACGATGATTTTCCTCAAGCCATGAAGTCCATGGATGTCTCTTATTGCAGATCTCATTTTCATTGTCTACTCTCCCCTCCTCCCTTCAAATTATGGGGAACAAATCATGTCGCCTCCTTTTATTATGCAGAATCGTTCCAGGTGATGCCTAGTCCTGGCTCTCCAGTTACCAGTGCAGGTAAGTCAATGCATGCTCAGCTTGTGGTGCTAGTTTTATTCATGTTTACATCACACTGCTTAGGTCAACCTGCTAAACAACCAGTATCAGCCAGATCATTAGGTAAAGAACGCAAGATCTCTGTGTGTCTTGTGTATTGCATAACTTTACACCTCCTAATCTAGACTCCACCCCCAGTCTGAGAGACCTGACAGTGTTCAAGACTAGATCAGGAGAGAAGATTGAGATCATAAAGTCCCTGGCCCCAGAGTGGAAGTCATTTGGTGTCCACCTCAACTTTGACGACATGGGGTCCCAGCTGTCACTCATTGAGGCTCAGCATGGCCAGAGTAACCCACAGAGCTGCTGCCGGGACATGATGATCCACTGGCTGCTGGGGAATGGGGAGGGGCCCACCACCTGGAGAACTCTGCTGGCCCTGCTGGAGGATGGCGAGAGGGCCTACCTCGCTGACTGCATCAGGAGAGAACTACTCTCGTGACATTTACACTACAGACATCATTGGTACATCATATATATAATTATAGTTGTCCTTCAATATTTATTATCACTCTGATTATGGCAGTTTATAGCTATAAAATTGCTCTTAACTTAAAGGCTAGCTGAGCTCCGAAGTCGGCACACATCTAGAAGTGAGGCTATTATGCCAGCATAATTTCTGGAATAATTGGACTGCACGCGCACTAAGCATAAAAAAAGAATAATTGTGAGATTTACGGGAATTAATGGAAGTATTCCACTCGTGCATGTGCGGTACACATAATAGCTTCAATGGCTATGGAGGAGCCGGAGTTTTTTCACTCCTCAAAGCGGCTTTTGGCGAACAACAAGACATGGCTCTACAAGACTACATTGAAGCATCGATTATGCTTCAATACAAGAAGTGATGACTCGAGTCCTTTGAGTTGTTTATGTACTGGCTCTCTTCTGTCTGTTATGTCGTTTCATGGTTAAATTCACATTAGTAATACACTTTTTTGCAAAGAATAATCGGAAGTTTTGAGAGAATAATTGGAAGTTTTGGAGGAATAATTGGTGAATTTTATTAGCAGTGCAGAATAGCAAACCCTCGGCGAACTGCGCATGCGCGGTAACGCTAATTGATGGGCTGGGCCTATTATACTAGTATACGTTTACTCGTGATCTCCCGCTAGTTGAGCTCGCGGAGAGTCTGACACGGGCTAGCTACAGTAGTAGATAGCATGCGGGACTCGATACACGCCCTTCGTTGTGGCTTCTTGTGCCTCCGAGGTACACAGAGCAAGCGGATCAGGTCGGGGTAAGCCAGTGCTAATTAATTAACATATTGGCTTGTTCACTTGGTTTTCACGCCATAACTTCTGCACGCGGTACGAAAATCGCCTATTTTTAAATAAAGCCAGTGTAGCGCTGAACCCGCTGGTGCCGCTATTTTACCTGTTTGTCGCGCGTGGTGGCAGAAATCGTGTGGTAACAGACGGACAGATGGACAGACGCCCTACTGTAACCCTCGCTGCGCATGCGCGCGCCGATGGCAAATTCGTAAAAGTGCTGCGTTTCAGAGTTATGGCGCCTGAAAACAGTGAACTGTAACTTGTAATGAGGCTACTGTAAGCAGACTACTACTGGTGAAGGTATGCTAAAAGGGTCTACGGATGACTTGAAGTACTAAGGCAAATGCTCAAAAGGGGTTTCGTCACTTGTTACGGAAATATTTTGCGCGAGCGGCAATGGGCATGCGCAAAGGAGGCAAGGCCGCACAGTCGAGTCGGCGGTACAGCTAGAGAGAGCGGGAGAGTCCAGAGGGAAAAGTGACCGGCGGCTGAAAGAGATAGTGAGTGAGTATCAGTGAGAGTCGAAATGGTTATTAACTATCACATCACAGTAAAATAATCTGTCGAAATCCATTTCAGTTAGCACCTATATAGGACTAGTGCTATAGGGCCCGGACCTCTAGGATGCTTGCCGCCCGGATGGATCATGATCGGAGCCGGACCTTGTCTATATATAGGATGCTTGCCACCCGGATGGATCATTGTTGGAGCCGAACCTCGTCTAGGCCTAGGGCTAGGTCATCGACAGACTCAACCAATCGATGCTAGTCCTAGCACTAGACGAGGTCAGGCTCCAAACACGATCCATCCGGGCGGCAAACAAAGTAAGGTGCGAATAGCACTGGCCTCAAGAATGCATGTAGTACACTGACTGTAAGGCTGTGTGTTAGTTAGCTAGTAACACTCAGTCAAAGACCAGGTTTATCTTCCCGGATGGATGGATCATCATATAGTATTCTTGACATTGAAAAGCCTGGTGTTAATAGGAGCAACACTGCGACACAAGAGTGGTTGTACTCAGATTGATGACAAGGTCGAACAGCTGTCTTTTTAATAGTGGCAGGTGTGCTGAACTTGAACAAATGCAACGCAATGGCGAACAAACACAAGTTTGAAATATCAGCTGTATAGCTATGTGCGTTAGGGCATAAAACATTTTATATTGGTAGCGTCAGATAGAAATTACTGGCGAGTGGAAAGGAGCTACTCTAATTGACCAAACCGGGAAATTTTTGTTTTTAAAAAGCTGCACGTGGTGTTTTGATGAGTCATTGGTGGGTGAGGATAAAACATTTAAGTTTTAAATGGGCTGTCTCACTCGCCAGCATTTTTCACTTCTTCGCTTGCCAAATACGTAATTTGTAGATCACCCACAGTGGGTGTACATACAGCCATCATGAGACCTGTTTTCTACAGTGTGGCATAACATTTCTGTTAGCTGCCTGAGTACACATTTCAGGTGTATAATAATACTCTTGGCAATCCCGCACTTCACTGTATATAGGCATGTACAGGAGTAGGAACGACCAAGTTCTGGCTGAACTCTTGTCTTCAATTGATGAACATCCCTCGGAACAACTAGGTTAGTGCCTGCTACATGAAAGCACTGAAGTGTATAACAGCGTGTAATAGCACTAGAACCGGTTTGTTTCACCTAGCAATGACTGGTCCCGGTATAAGTATTGTAACAAGGGATGTAGCTTGGTTAGGTCCATCTGATGTAGTCTCAATTAATACTCTGGGTTTATCCCTTTTACATTCTTGTAGGTGTTGATGCTCTGCCCTTCCTGTACCGAGTCCTCCACCAGCTAGCCTCTCGCTGGAACTCTCTCTCCCTACAACTGAGTGTCAGTGGCCAGGATGAGATCCAACGCAATGCCCGCAGTGCCGACATTTGTCTGGCAGTGAGTCTGGTGGAGTGGCTACAGAGTGGCCAGGCCACCTGGAAGGCTCTGGTGGAGGCTGTCTTCAGACCTGCTGGTGGGGGACACCAAGTCCTGGCCAGAGACATCGCAAGGAACTATAGAAGTACGGAATTATGAATTATGTGTTGGAGTTGTGCCTAAAGCATTGCTTCTGAAGTTCAATTTGGTGCATTTGTCAAATGTAAACACACAAAACAGTTTGGGAAGAGAGTTTGTACTTAGTACTGCAAGCACAGATGGAGGTGGCACTGATATTCATATCTTCCAAAGTTTATTTGCTCCGACACCGTAGGTAGCAAAGATCCCCATATCAATGGGCTAAATTGTGTTGCCTGTTGTTTAATGACCAACCATTCACTGCTCACATGTCAGCGAACACTCCTTTTCTGGGTCATACTCTGAGAGGATACAGATCATTAGGTGCAGCAAGTCAATACAGCTGAAGGATTTCCTGAAGCCAAATCCTCTATTCAACCTGAATCTATTGCTAGAGATTTTCAATATTGTCATGACCATGTTGTTGACACTCTTACCTTTGTTCAGGTCTCTGTAAGTTTAGACCCAACAGCTTTGCTTCCAACGTACAGCCAATTGAGATAGGTGAGTACTTCACATCTGATATATATATAATGTGCATTAAATTTGAGACACTACATAATGGTGCTAAGCTTACTGATTGAGCACTCAGGTCTTTACCCATGTAGCCACTTATGTACCACTTATACTTTAATTGCACATAATTGCAGTGTCATCAAAAGAGTCGGTGAAACTGATACAGAAGATGCTCAACAACTCTGTGGCTGCTCGCTGGTACCAGATGGGTGTGGTAATGGGGGTGCTCCCCTCTGATCTGGAGATAATCAGAGAGAGTCCCGAGTACCACGGGGCAGGGGGAAGAGAGAAGCTGGCATGTTTGAAGGCCTGGCTGGAGAGAGGCTCTCTGCCCAGGACCTGGCAGGTACGTTGTGTGTGTGAACATCCAGTAATGTGGTTTATCTTGAGCAAGCAATAACCTTTGAGTCAGAATTAGGTCTCTACAATTAGCATTGCTGTTGTGTTGACAAACTTTACTACCAAAAGCAGTGATTCTTACATAATGAAAAGCACTGAAGTGCAAACCCTCGGCGCACTGTTACGCGCACGCGTATGTAAAAGCATGCGCCGTACCACTAATTGATGGGCTGGGTTTAGTTTTAGCTGTCACTCGTGGTCTCTTCCCAGCTCGCGCAGAGTCTGCCGCGGGCTAACTACACTACTAGGTAGCATGCGAGAGGGGATACACGCCCTGCGTTGCATCTTATGGTGCCTGTGAGGTACGCAGAGCACGCGGATCGATCAGACCGTGGTAAGCCGTCCCGTTCGTTGTGTATTTGCATATTGGCTTTTTCGCGCTCTAGCTTTGCAACGGAGCAGTTTCAGAGAAAAACGTTCGAAATTTCTGACCTTCATTGCCCGTTAAGTAGGTCGTATCCTTTGTGAGACGAACAAACACCCGAGAAGTGAGATTGAGAGTAACAGACAGACACACACACACACAGACAGACCCAAGTACTGTAACCCTCGCTGCGCATGCGCGCCGAGGGTAATAATGGTTGCCACATACTGTCAAAGGGGAAGTTCATGTGTGGGTGACTGAATATAGACACACCTACACAACACACCCTTGTGGTATTATAGGAGAGAAAGTGAAACTAGAAGACTTCCCATACCTTTCGCTTTCCCAAACAAAGGGAATTTTCATGTACCTATGTTTCATGCTTGCAGTTTCATCATTTTTTTACATTTCAACATCATGTGTGTGTAGGTGTTGGTGGATGCAGTAGAGGACAGAGCTGGTGGCAATCATAGAGTCCTGGCAAAGAAGATTGCCAGCTTTCCTCTGGGTACGTACAGATCCCATTTTATTAACCCTTGACGCGCATGCGCAGCGAGGGTTACGGTTCTTGGTTCGTGTGTGTGTGTGTGTTTGTCCGTTCGTCTGTTAACACGTTTTCTGCAACTACGCGCAACGAGACAACGAAATAGCGACACCAGCAGGTTCGTCGCTACACTGGCCTCATTTAAAAAAGGCGATTTTGATATAACTTCTGCGTTCAAAAGTTATGGCGTGAAAGTGAAGAAGCCAATATGCAAATTTACCAGACTTACGTACCTCGACCTGAGCCACTTGCCCTGTGTACCTTGGAGGCACAAGAAGTCACAACGGAGGGCGTGTATCGACTTTCGCATGCTATCTACTACTGTAGCCAGACTCTACACGAGCTACCAGCGGGAAACCGTGAGTAAACGCATACTAATAGCCCAGCCCAACAATTAGCGGTATCGCACATGCGCAGCTCGCCGAGGGTTTTCATTTTGTATTAGTGGCACTTTCCATCCAATAATTGTTCCATAGAACGCTATTAAAATAGTAGTACGCCTTTTCTTCTGATGTCTGTTTTACATTTGTCACAAACCAACAGCCTCGCAGTGCTCTGCAAAGCTGCTGTCCGTCGTGTAGTTATGCAGTTTACTAACTGGGTAGGCCAGCTGTGTATATAAGGGCTAAATGGCACTGTTCTACTGAGACAGAAGTTTGTAGCTCATAATTATACTGTCACATTCACGTTGTTGCTCACATCTGCATGTTGCTTGTATGAACTTAACCTGCTGCACATTCAACACTATGCAGAGCCCTCCCAGGCTCCACCTATCTCAACTGCCACCAGCCCAATCAACACCAGTAAGTGCTTATGGTTAGGCCTCTGATGGTCCTTTGTAGAGTTCAATCTCTTTTTGTGTAGGTAGTGCAGTTGAAAAGAGAGGAACAACCCGATCGCTAGGTATGTGTAAGACAAACTGTGTATAATTTGGAAAGTGTGTTTAAAGGACACGATACACCATGCAACATTTTTGCAAACTTTAAATATATCCATGCAACTTTATGGGTGACGCAACATGTTGAAATGCAAAATGTAACTTTGTGTGTCCTGTCCTTTATACTTATTAACTACTTGGTTTGTAAGTGTGTCTGTCCGTCTGTCCTTCCGTCTGTCTGTTACCACGTTTTCTGCGACTACACGCAACGAGATAACAAAACAGTGGTACCAACGGATTCGTCGCTACACTGGCTTCATTTTTTAAAAGGTGATTTTCGTATAACTGCTCCGTTCAAAAGTTATGGTGTGAAAAGCAAGTGAACAAGCCAATATGCAATTAGCACAAGCTTACCTCGACCGCGTCCGCTCGCTCTGTGTATCTTGCAGGTACAAGAAGTCACAACAAAGGGCATGTATCGGCTCCCGCATGTTATGTACTGTACCTAGCCCGTGTCAGACTCTGTGCGAGCTACTAGTGGGATACCACAGGTAAAGGCATACAAAGCCCAGCACATCAATTAGTTCTACCGCGCGTGCGCAGTTCGCCGAGGGTTTGCACTTTAGTGCTTTTCATTTTATACTTATTCACATCATTATTCATCACCCTTATAGACTCCACCCCCAGTCTGAGAGACCTGGCAGTGTTCAAAACCAGATCAGGAGAGAAGATTGAGATCATCAAGTCCCTGGCCCCAGACTGGAAGTCATTTGGTGTCCACCTCAACTTTGACGACATGGGGTCCCAGCTGTCACTCATTGAGGCTCAGCACGGCCCACAGAGCTGCTGCCGGGACATGATGATCCACTGGCTGCTGGGGAATGGGGAGGGGCCCACCTGGAGAACTCTGCTGGCCCTGCTGGAGGATGGTGAGAGGGCCTACCTCGCTGACAGGATCAGGAGAGAACTAACTGACCCTGCATATGAACCAACATTACACAAAGCTCCATAGATGTTTGTATAGCTAATTGTCACTCACAACATTTTCATTATTAATGCAGTGGGAAAATTAAACCCGCATAATCATGATGATTTCAATTTTGATGAAACTTAACCTGTCATCAGTGAAGAGAGAAAATTGTGAGTAAAGAGTAGCCGTGGTGATGGAGTGTGAGAGGGACCAGGACACGGCCTCCTTCGTCGGACCTTCCAGTCTCTTGTTATAAACAATGGGAATCAGTTGGCTACATAATAGCAAATGAGTGAACATTTCTACTGCCACTTTTACAAGTGACGAGAGCTTCCAAAGTGATCCAAACTAGCAAATATTCTGACTTTTCAAGATTTTTGCTTGACACTTCGTGCTGCTGCAGCAAGCTAGAGTAATTCAGAAACGAGTTAAAACTAATATCCTTGGTAGCTATAGACGGTAGAGGATTCTGAGAGTAGAGGAAGAGGAAGGATATCGATGTTAGGTCTCTGCCAGTTACTTATTTACACATGGGAACATTCCAGGTAGTTATTGTGCAGGTGTACAACGAATGTCCTGTGGCCACACTCATCTCTGTCAGTGACTCTGGCTAAGTCTCAAATAATATGATTATTTTCCACGTGCATACACTTTTTATAGGAACTACAAGGTAAGATTACGTAAATGAGTAACAAGTAATCTACATAATAGTGTGCGGGTGCTACAGTCCTATTGCACCCTAAGACCCACACCATTGGAAGGTGGCACAAGTATTCTAGGTGGGAAACTATAATGAAGTGCAGTCAAGGTTAGCAATAGGGATATCTGAAATTCTGAGATCATCAAGTCCCTGGCCCTAGACTGGAAGTCATTTGGTGTTCACCTCAACTTTGACGACATGGGGTCCCAGCTGTCACTCATTGAGGCTCAGCATGGCCAGAGTAACCCACAGAGCTGCTGCCGGGACATGATGATCCACTGGCTGCTGCGGAATGGGGAGGGGCCCACCACCTGGAGAACTCTGCTGGCCCTGCTGGAGGATGGCGAGAGGGCCTACCTCGCTGACAGGATCAGGAGAGAACTAACTGACCCTGCATATGAACCAACATTACACAAAGCTCCATAGATGCTTGTATATATAGCTAATTGTCACTCACAACTCTTTCAATATTAAATTAAAACAAAGTTATCCAAACCAGCAATAATTCTGACTTTTCAAGATTGTTGTTCGACACTTTGTGCTGCTGCAGCAAGCTTGTTTTAAGTTTAGCAAACGAGTGAAAATTAATATCCTTAGTTTGTATATAGAGGATTCTAGCAGGAGAGGAAGAGGAAGGATGTTAGGTCTCTTCCTGCTACCAAGATTCAATATTGCACATGAATATTCCAGGTAGCTATATAGTTATGGTGCATGTGTAGCTACAAGGAATGTCCTATATATTGCATCATAAGACCCAACACCATTGGAAGGAAGTTAATACGTTACATCATCAGGAATGACATTGCACAAGCTAAACTCAACTGTACACAACACTATTGGGGAAACTATAATAAAGTGCATGCAGTCAAGATTAGCAATAGGGATGTCTGAAATTCCATTCCAGGCAGACATTCCAGCAAAGTTAAGGCTGCTGGCTGCCCTTTGTCATCTGATAGTTATGCTATAATGCTAACTAGTTCGCTCATGACACCCCTGCACACAGAGCTACTATGGCTATGCCTGGTTCATGCCAAGACACTATTAGCTTCACTGTGTGGTCCCCAGGCAATCAACCTGGAACGAGGCTGTCTTCAGACCTGCTGGTGGGGGACACCAGCCGGTCCTGGCTAGAGACATCGCCAGGAACTACTATAGGAGTATGCATCAACCTACAAACTGGAGTTACACATTTGTAATGACATCATCATGGTTAAATGAAGGGAAAGTTCCCCGTGTGTTATGTATCCATTTGGGAGCGGATTTCCACACAACAGAGTGAAAGTAGGGGGGCTGTTAATCTGGGATGTGGCAACTGTTTGTCTAAGGGATATCCCTAATATAACAAGTGGAAAAATCATTTCTTCTACTCCTCAAACGCACACAGTACTGTCAAAACACTCTCCTTTCTGCATAAGGATCCACACACACATGTGATCTCGACTAGTGTATTAGCTATATTACTCTAACAATCGGCATAAGTCTGATCTGTACTAATCTTAGGAGGATATTATAAAACAGTCATACTAGTAACCTGTATAGCTATATATCCAGAGGATATTGGTTTGCAAAAATCTCTTAGCAGAACCTCATTATCATAGTATATAAGTAAGGCAAAAAAGCAGGGATGCCGCTGTTGAGAGCACGATACACAGATTACCTATTACCCTGTCAATTTCTCCATTCATGCACACTGCTATGGGGGCACCAGTGCACTGTTGGTTTAACGGCAATGATAGGCATTTCCTCTAACCTTTCCATATAAAGAGCTGTGACCTACTGGAATGTCTCCAGATCAACAGTGCGTGGGTTCATGACGTAGGTTAGCACGCCTGCACACGGCGAGGCCGTCACCTCTGTGCGTGCATCGTCATTGCAACGCGCCGTAGTTCTGCTGACGCACCTTATGTAAGCGCATGACGCATGACGTAACAACGTGTCTTCCCATGCTCAGGTGCATGATCGTCGAGAATGATGTTGGCCGGCCTGGTGTATTTAACTGAAGTGCCTGGAACTCATTAGACAGTAAAGACCTAAAGAAATTGCTACAACTTACGTGCAAGAGTTGGACTGTGGTGAACGTGACTAACATGTGTAAGTTAGTCTTTGACTCCTCTCTCTCTCCAGCCAATAGCAATAGCTAGCTAATGTTCTGGACGGTTTAGTGCTTTTAGCTTCTCATAATCTGTCTTGAATAAGATTGTCAAGCTGCCTATTATTTCTTGTGTTCTGCAGCAAGCTACAGAAGTAGAAACGAGCAAATCCTTGCTGAACTTTTGTCCAGCATACAAGAAGCCCCTTCAGAGCAACTAAGTAAGCATAAAACTTTATGTATAGTGAGTGGACTCCAGAAGGCTCAGACTCAATTGTAGTAATAAATTATGTGATTTGTATATGAATTTCAGACTGAGACTGAAGAATGAAAGTCAAGATTATGAGGATGGTAAGAAAAAAATCTGCTGGCCTGCACAGAGTCTGGGCTTTCTGAAATATATATACCTATATACCACTTACTATATTATACTGTTGTTCACCTGCACGGAACGCAGCACTTAATACATTTCATCTTTAGGTGTTGATGCTCTGCCCTTCCTGTACCGAGTCCTCCACCAGCTAGCCTCTCGCTGGAACTCTCTCTCCCTACAACTGAGTGTCAGTGGCCAGGATGAGATCCAACGCAATGCCCGCAGTGCCGACATTTGTCTGGCAGTGAGTCTGGTGGAGTGGCTACAGAGTGGCCAGGCCACCTGGAAGGCTCTGGTGGAGGCTGTCTTCAGACCTGCTGGTGGGGGACACCAGGTCCTGGCCAGAGACATCGCCAGGAACTATAAGGGTAAGTCTGTGCTTGACGATACCAAGTGTTGTGATCAGTTACTCTTTGCCTTGATGTAGCTATTAGCTACTTAAAGCCCTGCTTTTCTAGTTTATGGTTGTACACATTTCCTGTACTTTGCTATGCCAGGTTACTATAATTAGGTGAATCATCATTAAGAGAGAGACCACCTCGCATAACACTCTAGAAATGCTTTGCAAGGGGGTTGATTTTTTGTTTTACTTCTACTTCAATAGGTCTCTGTCAGTTTAGACCAAACAGCTTTGCTGCAACTGTCCAGCCCATGGAGTTAGGTAAGACATTCCTCATCCGTACAGTCTGTTTTATGTATGTTTCCTAAATAACAGAGGCATTATTAGGTATGTGTACCCAGTTGCATGAGATCCACAGATCTTCTCCATAATACTAGGCATGTCCTTGAAAAACATGGATCAATAGTATTGTCTCCAATGCAGTGTCATCAGAGGAGTCGGTGAGACTGATACAGAAGATGCTCAACAACTCTGTGGCTGCTCGCTGGTACCAGATGGGTGTGGTAATGGGGGTGCCCCCTCTGATCTGGAGATAATCAGAGAGAGTCCCGAGTACCACGGGGCAGGGGAGAGAGAAGCTGGCATGTTGAAGGCCTGGCTGGAGAGAGGCTCTCTGCCCAGGACATGGCAGGTATGGTATGTGTGTGAACATCCAGTAATGTGGTTTATCTTGAGCAAACAATAACCTTTTGGTCAGGATTGGGTCTCTCCAAATAGTGTTGTTGTTGTGTTGAAAAGTATGCCAAACTTTTGAAAATAAACTACCAAAAGCAGTCATTCTCACATATACTGTCAAAGGGGAAGTTCATGTGTGGGTGACTGAAAAGAGATGGATTTGACACGCCTACACAACACACTCTCATGGTATTATAAGACACAGTCTTACGGTATTATAAGAGAGAAAGTGAAACTAGAAGACTTCCCATATGTTTCGCTTTCCTTCACAAACAAGTAGACACGTGGGAATTTTCATGTATATACCTATGTTTCATGCTTGCAGTTTCATCATTTTTTTTACATTTCAACATCATGTGTGTGTAGGTGTTGGTGGATACAGTAGAGGACAGAGCTGGTGGCAATCATAAAGTCCTGGCAAAGAAGATTGCAAACTCTCCCCTGGGTAAGTGTTAAACATAGCGACTTGTGATAATTACTGTGTGCACAACTTGCATGGCTACTACACAACAACATGCATGTATAGTGTTGTGACACTGCACCTCTCACTACAAACGTAACAATCCACTGATGTTAATGTGACTAATGTCTTGTTACTCTCTACTTACAGACACTTTCCAGGTGGCACCAAGTTCGCCACAAGCTAGAAACAGTGCTAGCGCCGGTAAGTTATTAATACCAGCATGTTACTAGTTACATGTGGTCATGGTAAAGGCAAAGTTTTAATCCATCTGTGTGTTGTTACTTTCTTAGGTCAACCTGCTCTGAATCCTGCATCCACAAGAACATTAGGTATGTGATTAACACCGAGTTTGGTGTCTGCACATCAGCTGTGTCATAGATTCCTACGTTCTTTCTCCAGACTCCACCCCCAGTCTGAGAGACCTGTCAGTGTTCAAGACCAGATCAGGAGAGAAGATTGAGATCATCAAGTCCCTGGCCCCAGACTGGAAGTCATTTGGTGTCCACCTCAACTTTGACGACATGGGGTCCCAGCTGTCACTCATTGAGGCTCAGCACGGCCAGAGTAACCCACAGAGCTGCTGCCGGGACATGGTGATCCACTGGCTGCTGGGGAATGGGGAGGGGCCCACCACCTGGAGAACTCTGCTGGCCCTGCTGGAGGATGGCGAGAGGGCCTACCTCGCTGACAGGATCAGGAGAGAACTAACTGACCCTGCATATGAACCAACATTACACAAAGCTCCATAGATGTTTGTGTAATTATATATATAGCTAATTGTCACTCACAACTCTTTCAATATTAAATTAAAACAAAGTTATCCAAGCCAGCAATTAATATTCTGACTTTTCAAGATTGTTGTTCGACACTTTGTGCTGCTGCAGCAAGCTTGTTTTAAGTTTAGCAAACGAGTGAATATTAATATCCGTAGTTTGTATATAGAGGATTCTAGGAGGAGAGGAAGAGGAAGGATGTTAGGTCTCTTCCTGCTACCAAGATTCAATATTGCACATGAATATTCCAGGTAGCTATATAGTTATGGTGCATGTGTAGCTACAAGGAATGTCCTATATATTGCATCATAAGACCAACACCATTGGAAGGAAGTTAATACGTTACATCATCAGGAATGACATGGCACAAGCTAAACTCACCGTAACACAACACTATTGGGGAAACTATAATAAAGTGCATGCAGTCAAGATTAGCAATAGGGATGTCTGAAATTCCATTCCAGGCAGACATTCCAGCAAAGTTAAGTCAACTGATAGTTATGCTATAATGCTAACTAGTTACCTCATGACACCCCCACACAGAGCTACTATGGCTATGCCTGGTTCATGCCAAGACACTATTAGCTTCACTGTGTGGTCCCCAGGCAATCAACCTGGAACGAGGCTGTCTTCAGACATGCTGGTGGGGGACACCAGCAGGTCCTGGCTAGAGACATCGCCAGGAACTATTATAGGAGTTACATGCATCAACCTACAAACTAGAGTTACACATTATGATATCATCATGGTTAAATGAAGGGAAGTTGCCCATGTGTTATGTATCCATTTGGGAGCGGATTTACACACAACAGAGTAAAAGTAGGGGGAGCTGTTAATCTGGGATGTGGCAACTGTTTGTCTAAGGGATATCCCTAATATAACAAGTGGAAAAATCATTTCTTCATAATATTTAAGCAGGAGCTATTATAAAGAGAGCTGACAACAATGATGTTGTACTATACTAGGCAAAGTGTCATTTACTGTGTGGCCTGCATCAAAATGAAAGTAGGATATAGGGATGGCTTGAAGCACCAAAAAGGAAGAAACAAGGGGTCATTACACAGCAACGTTGCACAAAGCTACATGACACCATCCTTATATCTTTGTGTTATATGAAACAAACAATAAAACAAAGATATAGGGATGGTGTCATGTAGCTTTGTGCAACTTTGCTGTGTAATGACCCCTTGTTTCTTCCTTTTTGGTGCTTCAAGCCATCCCTATATCCTACTTTCATTTTGAAGAAATGATTTTTCCACTTGTTTCCACTATTTTTAACAGATAATGACAATACTGCATTTATTGTTACAGTTACTCTGATGTTCATGGGTAACTGTTGAATGTAGTAGCTAATGGGGATACTAGTGCCTGAAGCAGGGGCTCTAGATACCGCATTCACCTCATGTTTTGTCTTCAACAAGGATGTAATTAAGATTATTGCACATGGTTGTGGTTTCACGGGCAGGCTTTGGTAATCAGGCTACAACCTGGGGGGGGACAAACAATGAAGGCCCATTTGACTGAGCGCCCTGCAGCTCGCGTAAGCGCAGACTCTGGCAAGTTGCTTTTCGTGCAAACAGCAAGCTAGCCAGTTGGAAATGTGCACACTTACTTACAGAAGGTACTGGAGGCTGAGAGTTCCTCTGCAGGTCTGCCAACTAGAATACGCACGCAAGCGCATTGGACAACGCCCCTGCCTGGCGCATGCGCGCGGCTCACTGGTGCTGAGTTAGCAGCAAATGGCGTTCGCAGTGTCGACCATTTGAAGAGCTCCACGATCTACCCTAGTGACTAGCGGCAAGAACGAAACGATCGCTTGATGTCCGTGGACACCTCCGGCGAAATAGGAGACCTTCAGTGAAGAAATCAGTGCTTGAACTGGTACTGGTAAGGAAATAGCGGGTTTTTAAGAAGAAGAAGTTGACACGAAAATCGTGAAATCGCGTAAGAGAAATTCTCTCGTGGACGACTGAAGGTGCGTATGAGGTCTTGGGGGGTATGTATAGGTAGATATGGGCCCGTAGATTATTGCTAACATGTTTTTAAGGCTTAGGGAGTGATTCTCACCGAGTTTTTAGTCGTTTTGTAGGCGGATCACGTGAGATTTCACCCGCGTCATCCCTATATAACCGACTCTCTAATATAGCTATTTTTCCCAGAAGATTGACAATACTCAATTGTAGCTTTTCAATCATTGGTATCCACAGTTTTCTATCCTTGTGTTAGGTGTATGCTTTTATTACCACTCTTTCTTGGAAATAGTGTCGCTTGGAGGATAGGGAGAGAACTGCTGGCTCATTAGCACTTCACTTGGCTTATATATTATAATTATAATCAATATCTATTGCCTAGAATAATAGATATTCTGACTTCACATAACTAGCTACAGTTCTTCTCTAGACTGCATTTCCGCTTATTTCAAAAAGGTGTGCTGACACCCAACACTGATTGCTAACTCCTGAAGCATTCTGAACAGGATAATGAAAATGCAAAAAAGGGGAATTTGCGATACACACTTTTCCGCAGCAAAATATTGTCTGAATAGAGAATGAACAGTCCAAGGTGATAGATGTCAGGACAGAGGCACATTCATCATAAATCCCAACACCCAGTTTCTTGCTTTTTAGTCGGCTGATAGTGCGACTGACTTACATGCATTCTGACATCACACTGGGAGTGAGACTTGGGACTAATGCTAGCCATTTTTGTGTGTTTGTGGATGAGCATAACTCAACTTGATGTCCATTTATGGATAGCGAACTTTAGCCTGTGGGATGTGGTATTCAGAGACTAATTCCTGCCTAAATTGCTCCACCCCATTCTATACAATAGACTTTTGTTTAGCAATAGAAGGTATGGCTAGCACACTGGAGGTTGCGCATTGGTTTGCAATCTAAGTTAGGTGTTAAACCGACGGCTGCACTTTGCCATGTGTGTGAATGTGCACACCGCTCGTTGAGGTCCTGACTTGTATGGACCGTCTGCTATAGCAGTATAATTGTATATACCTTTGGGGGATGTTTCTTTCTCAGTAGAGTAGCAAGGTCAGAGTAGGCAGATTCACAGGAGAATTATCAATATGCCAATAAACTTGTTAGCCCACACCAGTTTTTTCAAGGATATGTTGTAGTTCTGTCTGACAAGGCCGAGTATATATCTCGCGGGATTTGTCACCATTACTGACCCCCAGTTTAGAGAGGACATTACTGGCAGCAGTTTGAGTGATGAAGCCACTCTCAATGAATTTATTTGAGAAGTAGGTCAGATCTCCACTGACAGTTTCGGCATCTGCAATCATGTGACGACCCATCGCTTCTGAAAAGTCTGCAGTGGAGTAGTGAGAGTACAAACAACTTGGGCACATTAGACGTGAGCACAAGTACAGTATTGCAGCATGCGCAGCTAAGTACCGCTGATTGGCTCTTTACTAAGAATTATACCTTGGTTTGTGTTTGAGACTGACAACTCTGCACTACCTAGTTCCTGTAAGGAGAGAACTACCATGCAGCACTGTATATAAAAGTGAAGAAAATTTTAATTGCCGGCTGGTTTCATAGTCAATGAGATTGTATAAACAAACATCATAAAGCTTGCAATATATACCCTTCCCCCTGAAAGTGTATAGGACCTGCTACAGCTATTCTAAGGGGTGTCTAAAGTCACATTATTCTATGCTCAGTGGACCCACAAAGGGAGCTCACTATTATTCCATTAACCTGGTAACCAGTGCTGTCGAGGTAGCAGATGATGTTGAAGGCAGAGAAATGTTTAGCATTTTGGCTGTGTTAAAAAAGTAACTCACAGCACAATAAGGGAGAATGACGCCCGGTTAAACCTACAAGAATGTTTCTTCCTGAGAAGATACTGTATTTGTCCATCTGTCCTCTGAGACACTGGTAGGTTCCGTCACTCTGTGTCTGCCACTCTCGGAACATCATCATTGCCTTGGCACAGTCACTGCTGCCACCCTCTATACCTCTACTTTATGGAGAGGAACATTCAGAACGGTACAGAAATCATCAATGGAGGTAATGTTGGACGACTTTCAATAAAGGATGAGGTGACTTTACAAGACCCTAGTTCGTCACAGTACAAATCAACTAAAACATTGAAAATCGAAAAACTGGAATGATTCAAACTTAAGACGCCTAGCAACTGGTTGAAGATGATGAGGAGAAGTGTGTACATTTTCATTGCCGTTACAAATGGCTTGAGTAATTTTTTCTAATGAAACTGAGGTGCAAGGGATGTTAACGGGGTACTGTGGGTGGGGAACAAACTCTTCTACAGTCTTAATAACACCACAAAAATGAGACTTTGCTTTCAATATTTGTTTCATAAGTTGCGCTCGTGTGTTGACAAGTTCAAGTTCTTTGCCTTTCTTCCCGACGTCGCTCCGGCATGAGAGGAAGAAGACTACGCTGTGGTCAGTGACCTCTACCAGGACATCAGAGGTGTCAGTGGTCCATTTGATGTCGTTCCTCCAGACGGAGCACTGCTGGTGGAGGACAGGACTCCTGGCCGCTATCTTGTGAGGTTCCACGGCCTCGCTGTGCTCAAAGGCCAGTCGGAGCAAGAGGATCTGGTGGAACCAAGGGCTGAGGTAATGGTGGTCCAGACATCGCAGCGGACCCGCAGCAGCTGTATTGGTCAGGCTGGACTGCCAGAGGTTCATGCGGAGACTCTGCTGTGTCAGTGCTGGGAGAAAGTGGCGCTCTTTATCCGTACTCTGTGTGAGCCTGGTCACCATTTTGAGAAGATCGTCCTCCCTGATCTCCAGACAAAACTCCTGTGACTAGAAAATCTACAATAAGCGTGTGTGTATCTGTGGAAGCTGCTCGTTTGATCTTTGAGGGACAGGACACACTCGCCCTTCTTGTGAGTGAGTTGTGTGTTCCATGAAGTCGCGCAGCAATAATACGGACCCGTGAACTGATCTCGATAGCAGGTATCTGTCAATGATGATCAACTGCCTCTAAAGACTGTATGATGTATAGAAACCGAATACCTCTCTTGTTGAGAATGCTGCAAGCATCGTGGAGGTCTTCTATGTTTGGGGAAAAATTCCCTGCTAAAGAACGGCATGCTTAATAGTACTGTTTTCAGTGTTTTGAGTTGCAGTCCTGGTTTATCGCCACCTTTGATACTAGATAAACATGAAAGCAGTGATTTAAGTTGAGTCATGCTGGAGACTCGCAGTAGCGGCAGTCCACCGTAATGTAGCCTACATAGTCAATGTTCTTTGCATCAGAACAGAGGCTTTGAACACTTCTCTCTTTCTCTGCGAATTCTGTTTTTGACTGGACTGACTCAGCATGACTGCCTACTACTAGGAGACAGGGCTTGGCAACTGGCGAAGATGAATTTTCATAAACTTGACTCTGAATGAAAGAAACCCAGTATGAGATGGTTTGTTTTAGGTCCGATAGTATGGCTCTAAGATTTATAACGAACAGGAAGATCCCCAATGATATGCTACTCCTGATGACTGTGTCATGTGAATTATGAAACTCTCTGTGACCTGCCAAGTCATATAGCGTAAGCCGTCCGATTCGTGAGCTATGAACTGTGTGACATTCAATACCAGCTGTTCTCTCTTTTACGCCCCCCACATGCTTCATTCGCCCCGTCCACCGAATAATGCTAGATCTCTCTGTTGTACGGGCTTTTATTAGGGTGCTCTTGCCTGCACCCTGGTCTCCTATCACAAAGAGGGAAACATTGGATTTAGCTGCCTCGGTAGGACTTCCATGTGGTAAGTATTCCTTGTATACATTGGCAGTCACCGCACCGTGTTGTAGGAGGAGCCTGATAATGGCTGTGTTGTGTGTAAGAGACAGAGGTGCTAATCCTTCCTCGGTGGTGTAGTTCGGATCAGCATGGCACTCTGCTAGAAGACACTTCACAACAACCTTATTGTTTCTCCTGAAACAAGAACAGAAGTAAGCAGACTCTTACTTTGGTTAGCGACACATTGCGTTATTACCCCTTAACGTGCATGCGCAACGAGAGTTATACTATAATATTATTGCGCTGCAAATACCGTAATGTTATACGTGATTCTAAATATGGGTGAAACACGTGTGCAAAATTGACTTCGCACACCTAACATTCGTTCTATTGGTCATTCTGTCCATCTGTCTACCCTTTGGTTTTTTGGATGTCTTGTTGGGTGTAGTGGCAGAAAACGTAACTGACAGACAAATTAGTTCAGTGCCGCACTGGCTTGATTATTAAAAATGGCGATTAATACTGCATTTTAAAGTGTAGCTATCCCTGTGTCAGACTCTTCACGAGCTACTATAATTATAGCGGGAGACCACCCATCAATCAGCAGTACTATACGAATGAGTGTGCATTCCACGTCTAGTGTGGCCAGGTTTTTACTTTATTGCTTCTCAATAACCCTCGGCGTGCATGCGCTAGAGGGTTATAGTACTTGGGTTCGTAAGTGTGTCTGTCCTTCTGTCTGTCTGTCTGTCTGTTACACGTTTTCTGCCACCACGTGCAAGAAATCGGCCAAAGCAATGGGTTCAGTGCTACACTGGCTTCATTTTTAAAAAGGCGATTTAATTATACTGTGTTCTAAAGTTATGGCGTGAAAACCAAGTGAACAAGCCAATATGGTAGCGCTTACCTCGACTGGATCACCCAGTCTGATCGATCGCGTGCTCTGTTGTACACTCGGAGGCACCAGAGAGATGCAACGCAGGGCATGTGTCGCCTCTGGCATGCTATCTAGTAGTGTAGTTAGCCCGCATCAGACTCTGCGCGAGCTGGGCAGAGTAACAGCTAAAACTAAACCCCAGCCCATCAATTAGTGAGTACGGTGCACGCGTGTTACTTACGTGTGCGCGCTCACAATCCGCGAGCGGTTTGCACTTCAGTGCTTTTCATTACTATTGTGGACCACCATGGCTTTATATCCCATCTCTCTTGTTTTCACTCCCTTGTTCAGTACGCACTTGCAGCAGTGTGCAGAGGAGTGTTCCCGTCATTATCTCTGGTGTTTGGATCACAGTTAGCTTCATGGTCAGATACCTCATTGCATCAAGATTACCTGCCCTGTAGGAAGACGTTAGCACAGAAGTTATGAAGATTTACATATAGCTTATGTACTAGTAGGCTTGCCCAGTGTATGCACAGACATCAAATAGGCTGATTGTTAGTGACTGTTTGTGCACAGTGAGGAAGCCTTAAGCATGCTAGATGTTTATAGTTAGCAGCATCGACAGAAAAAAGCCGCAGGCACGTCATCAAAAAGTGCTTGGCAGACAGGCGTGTGTGGGAATAACTATTGAACAGCATAGCCAAGCCCAGAGGTGTGCACACATATCCTGGATGAACAACAT